AGCAGTCAGTAATCCTATCTGGCCCGCAGTTTAATTAAGGCTCCGCTTCCCCGTACAGAAAGTGAACTGTGAGCGTTTTGATTCCTCCTCGCTCCCGACACGCAGCGTTTATTTTCACTGCACGTGTTTATTTAAATGATTCACTTCGAGCATAAACATAACAGAACTTTTTAGGACCTTCGTCAATAGCACGTTCGCTCTTCTGTTAACAGCGCACGGCTAATAGGAAGGAGAGGCTTTCGGTTTATTTATTATAATGCGGACTTACAGGGGTGAATGACAGCTTTTTTTGTTGCCTTATCGAGCAATCTTTTAACAACTCTTTGTGAGCTTGAATAGTATTAAGCTCCTGTTAGCTGCTGGCGGTGATGATAATATTACTTGCGATGCAGCCAGTTTGATAAGTGTTACCACATTGGCGTGCTTCTCCTTTAAAAGTTTCACTATAACCGCTGGTTTATGAAGGTGTTCTGGTGGTAAAATGTTATAGGAGTGCAGGATGCTTTCTGATTAACTCAAACCACCTGTTGAGCAAACAAATAAATGAATAAAAAACTCGCATCTGAGTCAGAGATAGTCAAATGAGACATGAGATACACCTACGCCACAACCTGTCAAAAAAGTAAAATGTTTAGCAGCAGATGGTAAAAAGCTGTGCATTTGCTGTGTGTGTGTGTGTGTGTGTGTGTGTGTGGTTTATGTTAATTTGAAGTATACTTTTAATTGTTGCCATTATATAATTTTATAAGTTCAGTTATGGTTGTTTGAACTAGTGTTGGGTGTAACAAGTTATATAGTGTAGTAAATAATTACTCTAATTAAATTACTTAGTCGGAGCAGCATGGTGACTTAATGGTTAGCACTGTCAGATCACAGCAGGAAGGTTGCTGGTTTGACTCCCGGCTGGGTCAGTTGGCATTTCAGTGTGGAGTTTGCATGTTCTCCCCTTGTTGGCGTGGGTTTCCTCTGGGTGCTCCGGTTTCCCCCAAAGTCCAAACACATGCACTATAGGGGAATTGATTAACTAAATTGGTTGCAGTGTGTATGGGTTTCTCCAGTGATGGGTTGCAGCTAGAAGGGCATCCGCTGTGTCAAACATATACTGGATTTGTTGGCAGTTAATTCCACTGTGGCAACCCCA